GCGTACCCGAAGCGAGTGAAGGTGGTGGAGGTGGGACCCCGCGATGGGCTCCAGAACGAGAAGGTACCGGCGGGTCCGGGCTCCCTGCCCTCCCGGTTGGAGGATTCTCCCACCAAACCCCCAAATGTCTCTCTGTGCCCACTAACGGGGCTTTATTTTAATTTAAACGCTGCTTTTCTGATGTTAATTTTTTTTCCCAGTGATGGAAATGTTCATTGTGGCAATAATAACTTTAGGTAATTTTGATTTTCTTCTTCTTAGAATGTTGTACCCACGCCAGTGAAGATCAGTTTAATCAACATGCTGTCAGARACGGGGCTGCAGGTGATAGAGGCCACCAGCTTCGTGTCCCCCAAGTGGGTTCCTCAGGTCAGTGTTCAGACAGGATTTACAGAGGTGTGTTCTCAAAGTTCTCAAATCCAATGGTTCTGCTTGCTCCAAAATCCCTGTTACTGGGCAGGAGCCAGCAGAGGAGTTGTAATATCCCTGAGCTTCCCTTTGGACCCTGGGAAAGAGCAAAGGGACAAGCAGGTCACACACACACAGAGCTGTTGTGTACATTGGCCTGGCTGGGTGACCCCTGACCCCTCACAGTGTGCAATCTGTTTGCTTTTAGAGGCTCTGATCTCTAAATATTTCTGCTCCCATTATAGAAAAAATGTAATTATGTTTTTCTGCCTGGCAGAAGTGGCAGTTGTCACCCTTACAGCCGTTTCCTGGTTTGCTTTGCAGATGGCTGATCACACCGAGGTCATGCAGGGGATTAATAAATTACCTGGGATCAGTTACCCTGTGCTGACTCCAAACCTGAAGGGATTCCAGGCAGCGGTAAGGGCTGAGAACACCTCAATATCCACATTGTGGTGTTTTCAATCCCACCTCATCCTTTGCTGCTTCATCTTTTCATGACAAACTTGAATGCGTGGATTTTGCTGCAGAATGAACTGAGGGAAGAACTGGGTTATTTGGGGGAAAAATGTTTTTATTACATGAGAGAAGTGTAGTTGGAGATTGTGGAAGATTATAGAGTCATTGGGGTTGGAAAAGAGCTCCRAGATCTTTAAGTCTAAATAAGCAAGGCAGATTTATTTAGGACTGGAAAAGACTCTGTAAAGGGAAGTGTTTTATGGGGCTGGTTTGAGAAATCTCAACCAAGAGAYGCTGTTGAAACCCTTGAGTTAACACTTGGCCATGAAATCATGAAGTTGTGGCTCTGTTTGTCATTTCCCTCACAAGAAAAATCACCTGGCTTTGATTTAAGGACAGTTAAGGGTTGGACCCGCTSATCTCAGGGGTCTTTTCCACCCTCAATGGTCCTGGGATTACAATTTGGGATTTTTTATTTGCAGGTGGCAGCAGGGGCCAAAGAGGTGTCGATCTTTGGGGCAGCATCTGAGATGTTCACCAAGAAAAACATCAACTGTTCCATAGAGGAGAGTCTGGAGAGGTTTGACGAGGTCATGAAGGCAGCAAAGGCAGCCARCATTCCTGTCAGGGGGTAAGGAATTCCTCTTGGAATTCACCCATATCATAATCATTCATTCTGGAATGATCCAGAGTCATTTTGGACCTGATTTTCTTGGCAAACATCCCACATGGAAATGCACAGATCCCAAACCCAGCAGCCCTGTGGGCTCACCTTGGCAAGATTTTCACACCCATGAAAGAAGGAGTTGTTGCCATCCTGTGGCCTTTAGCCACTGGACTTTTGGAATATAAAATTAATTCTCCCATCCCATAGACATGGAAGATTCACCAGTCCTGATTGATTTTTCCAGTAGAATCCCACTTCTTTTCCAGCTAAAAATGTGTGGGTTTTTTTTAACCACAGATACGTTTCCTGTGTCCTCGGATGTCCCTATGAAGGGAAGATTTCTGCAGCTAAAGTTGCAGAGGTGAGTCAATAATGAACACAACCAGAATTCCTGAGAGGGTTTTGTCTCATTTTTGGGGGTGTGGAGTGGGCTCTGGGGGCTGTGTCAGACTATTTAACCAAAGGGGAGATTCCAGGTTCTCTGTGGTTCCTGGAGAACAACACCTGGGTTCAAGTTCTTGTTCCTTTTAATGAAATCCCTTAAAAACCCCACAAAAAATAACCAATGGATTTGCATCCAGCTGAGATTCCAGCGTTTCAGTTGGCCTGCCTTGGCTTTTGGGCACCCTCTTGAGGTTTGCCAATGTCCATTTAGAAAAACATACGTGTATATATATATATATATATATATATGTATAAAAAGAATAAAATAATAATTCAGCAATAAACATGGAAAAGGATCTGGAGTGGTTCAGAGCAGCCGTTTCTGGGGAGATCCTGGCTTGGGAATTGATGCCATCCCATGGGGAGCGGGTTTGCTCCGGGGATGTAGCAGCACACGATGTGTTGAGTCCAGCCAAAATGGACAGAGGAGTTCAGGGAGCTTTTAACCCCAAAAAAGAGTGGGAATTCAGTGTCCAGCAGGAATTCAGCTCAAGGGAAGGGAAGGGAAGGGAAGGGAAGGGAAGGGAAGGGAAGGGAAGGGAAGGGAAGGGAAGGGAAGGGAAGGGAAGGATGTCCCCCTCATGCCATGCTGGCTTTGCCCAGGTCTCCAAGAAGATGTACTCCATGGGCTGCTACGAGATCTCCCTGGGGGACACCATCGGCGTGGGCACCCCGGGCAGCATGAGGGAGATGCTGACAGCGGTCATGAAGGAGGTGCCCGTGGGGGCTCTGGCTGTGCACTGCCAYGACACCTATGGCCAGGCTCTGGCCAACATCCTGCTGGCTCTGCAGGTAGGATTCCTGCTCTGCATCACAGACTCACAGAATGCTTGGGTTGGAAGGACCTTAAAGCTCAGCTTTAAAGCAGGGACATCTCCCACTATCCCAGGCTGATCCAAGCCCTGCCCAGCCTGGCCTGGGACCCTTCCAGGGATGGGGCAGGCACACAAATGAAGCATCTTCCCTCGGGTTTTTTTCGGGGAATTGCAGATTCAGTCCTTGCAGAGCAGCCCCTGACTCTGGCTCTGTTTGCAGATGGGGGTGAGCGTGGTGGACGCTTCTGTCGCCGGCCTTGGAGGSTGTCCCTATGCCCAGGGAGCCTCGGGGAACGTGGCCACGGAGGATTTGGTGTACATGCTCAACGGGCTGGGCATCCACACGGTGAGTGGGAGCTGCCTGGGGGAGAGACTTTACAAAAAGGAATGGCTTCCCATTCCAGAGAGCACTGTTAGATGGGATATTGGGAAAAAAAATAAAATAATCCCTGGGAGGGTGGGGAGGCCCTGGCACAGCATGCCCAGAGCAGCTGTGGCTGCCCCAGGATCCCTGGAAATGTCCAAGGACAGGGCTTGGAGCAGCCTGGGATGGTGGGAAATGCCCCTCAAGGCGTTTCCTGTGCTTTTCCCATGCAGGGGGTGGATCTCCAGAAGCTGATGGACACAGGCACCTTCATTTGCAACGCTCTGAACAGAAGAACCAATTCCAAGGTGTCTCAGGCATCCTGCAGGCTGTGACACTGAGTGGGATTTCTCCTTGGAACAAGAAGAAGCTGAGGATCTGGCACTGGCTGGGGTTCCTCTCTGATCTCYCGAGCTCCTTCCCAGCTCAGCATTTGAGAAGAAACTCAAAATCCACCAGAATTATGAAGACACGAAAGAATGTTATATAATATTGTATTCTGTTGGACCTTGAGCACATCACCATTTGCCTTAGAGAAGGGAGGGCGTGGAGAGGCTGAGRAAAGCTCTGAGCAGAGCAGCACCCAGCAATCCTGTCTGCAGAGCAAAGGACAAAGCACAGATTTTGCAGTTAGAGCRCTTCTCCAGGTCAGGCTTTGCCCTTTTCCCTCTCCAAATGTTAAGGCTGAGTCCAAATCCTCCCCTCGTGCCCCGGGTGTCACCCTGGGGCCACCTCAGCGCTTCGGGATTGTGCTACTGGACTGTGTATCTGTTGTAAGATACCTCTAAATACCAGCAGCAATAAACATTTTATTTAATAGTCTAAACTATTAAAAATTGGATTCGGCTGAACCAGCCTAAGAGCTTTGCTGCTGGTTTGGTTTGAAGTGTGTGGGAATGGTGCATCATGGAGGGTTGGGGAATTCCTGACACCCCCAGAGAGCAGAGAGTGTGAAACACCCCTGCTCCTCGGGTGAACAGGTCCTTGTGARCCCCCCTCAGCTCTTTTATTTCAAWTAATTTATTGAAYAATTTATTTGTGAGGCTGGAGATGAGCACAGGAGCCTTGTCCTGGGGTGGGGCGGGTTTGTGGCTGCTTTCTCTGCGTACGGCGCCGCCCGTCCACATCACTTCAATAAACCGTAACAATTAACAAACCTTCCCTAATGAACGCCMCAGAAATGGGGCGGAATCGGGCAATAAACCCGGGATTGGGACAGCGGCGTCCTCCCGCCGCCAGGGGGCGCTGCGGCCCCGTGACCCCGCCCTCTGCGCGCTTTTTGGCCACGCCGGCGCTCCGTAGCCGTGACACGTTTCCATGGAGGAGCCGCGCGCGTGGCGCCGGGGGCGGGGCCAAGGCCGGGTCTTAAAGGGACCGCGCCCCCAACGGGGCTGAGCGGGAGCGG